GCCTCGACCATCACCAGCGGCGTCGTCGTCGCCGCCGTCGCCGTCATCGTCGTCGTCCTCGGCATCGCAACCATGATCAGCATTACCACCACCACCACCACCACCACCATCCTTGTCAGAAACACCAGCGTCGTCGTCATCATCATCGTCATCATCATTACCGTCACCATCATTGTCATCATCACCATCATCATCATAATCATCATCATCCGCATCATCAGCATCATCATCAGCATCGTCATCATTATCATCAGTACCACCACCACCACCATCATTATCATTATCATCGTCATCATTGTCGTCGTCGTCGTCATGCTCAGCATCCACATCATCACTATCACCACAATCCGCATCGCCATCACCACAAAAAAAATCGTCATCTCATTCCCTCTTCTCGCATCGCTCCTCCCTCCCCAACTCCTCCCTTCGCCCACCACTCCACGAAACTATATACACAAACGCCCGCCGACGAGTGTCGCGTGTGCCGAAGGACCCAATCATATGCAGTTGTGATTCATGATTAATGCAGTTGTGAGTATCGTCTTAGGTGGAGCCCCCTATGGGGCCATGAAACGTGTGAGGGGTGTGCCGAAATGCGTGGCGGAGACGAATGTAGGCACCGCAACTGGGGCCATCGGTGGCGTTCCCTATGGGGCCACGAAGCGTGTGAGGTGTGTGTGCCGAAATGGGCTGTGGGGACGCTTGTCGACTGCGCCACTCGGGCCTTCGGTGGAGCTCCCTATGGGGCCACGAAACGTGTGAGGGATGGGTGGCGGGGACGCATGCGGGCACCGCCACTGGGGCCTTCAGTGGAGCTCCATGTGGGGCCACGAATCGTGTGAGGGCTGTGCTGGAAGTGGTGTCGGGGACGCATGTGAGCACCGCCACTGGTGCATTCGGTGGAGCTCCCTCTGGGATGCATGTGAGCATGTGAGCACCGCCACTGGGGCTTTGCGGACATGGGCGTCGGGAACGCATGTGGGCACCGCCACTGGTGCATTCCGTGGAGCTCCTTATGGGGCCACGTAGCACGTGTGAGAAGCGTGCCGGATTGGGTGGCGGGGGCGCATGTGAGCACCGCCACTGGGGCCCTCGGTGGAGCTCCCTATGGGGCCACCAAAAACATGTGAAGGGGGGGGGCCGGAGTTGGTGGCAGGGACGCATGTGGGCACCGCCACCGGGTGCCTTCGGTGGAGCTCCCCATGGGTGCGCGGAGCGTGCCGAAAACGATGGGGGGACGCATGTTGGCACCGCCACTGGGGCCTCCAGTGGAGTTCCCTACGAAGCCACGTGTGAGGGCTGTGCTGGAAGGGGTAGCGGGGACGCATGTGGGCACCGCGACTGGGGCCTTCGGTGGAACCCCCTATGGGGCCGCCAAAAACGTGTGAAGGGTGTGCCGAAATTCGTCGCGAAGACGCATGTGGGCACCGCAAGTGGGGCCTTCGGTGGAGCCCCGTATGGGGCCACGAATCGTGTGAGGGTTGTGCCAAAACGGGTGGCGGGGACGCATGTGGGCACCTCCACTGGGGCCTTCGGTGGAACTCCCTATGGGACCACGAAGCGTGCGACGGGTGTGCCAAATTTTGTGTTTGTGATGATGCTGATGATGATGATGGTGGTGGTGGTGATGCTGATGGTAAGTTTGATGGTGATGCTGCATATGATGATGACGATGTTGATGATGATGATGATGATGATGATGATGGTGGTGATGGTAATAATGATGGTGATGACCGACCGCATCTATAATGTGGTTCGCCAACAGGAGCCTACTGGAATGTGGCGTGACGGGTTGCTGCAAGGACGCCATCGAGCTGCCCGTCGCGCAGCGGCTGGCCAGGCTCGCATACGGCCTTGGCTTTGTGAGACACATGGAACTCCAAAGCACAGCGCGTAAGCGCCCCAGCTCGGCTCATCGCCCACTTGGCGGCATCGCATTCGTTCGGAGCCGCAAGGCCCAGCATGTGAATGGGAGAGGCAGAGAAGTCAAGGAGGCGTCGAAGAACAGGACAGGAGAGGCAATGGGCAATCGCGCCGGGCACATCTGCGCATCCGAAGAGGCAGGAAGCAGTGCCACAGACGTGCACGCGGCGCGCGGTGGCCCACCCACCTGCGAGGGTTTGAAAACTGAGCACTGCCATTACGGACGCTGCGTCCGAGAACCGATAGACACTCCTGCCACCGTTCCCCAACCGCCCCCGTTACCTGCTGCAGCAAGCCCCACGCACGCAGTCGCATGCGAATGGTGAGATGGACATCGGGAAAGAAGAGGGAGCGGCGAAGGGAGGTGGAGACGGCACGCTGCATCTTGGCCTTGCGACCAGCGGCTCGGGCATTACTAAGCTCATCGCGGGTCGCAGCCGCAGCATTCATCCACTGCGTGTCATCGACGCCAGGATCGGAGGAATGCTCCGCGAGGGATTGAAACGGCTGCAACATGCCTTGCGGCATCTTCCAGCAAGGTGCGCTCCACCTCTGCTGGAGCCAAACCACAAGCGGGGGGTATCGCACCGATTGTTCTGGCCCGGGGCGAAGCTCTTCCCATCCCGCCAGCGCGCGATGCGCACAGCGCCGAAGACTCGCCGCGCTAGGAATATGCGCGGAGGCTGGCGGGACGAGCGCATGATCCTCGAATGCAAAAAGCCCGCCTTCCGAAAAGTGTTCGGTGGAAGGCGCATGATTTCGTGCATTGCGACTTTCTCTCTCAGCAGCACCCGCCAAAGAATTGGGCGGCGCTGCGCGAGATAGCTCAACACCGACAAGGCACTGCTGTCATATAACAGGAGACTCATGCTAGTCGGGCTGTCTGCAGCTGGAATCTCACACGCGCGCGCCCACCATTTGCGAGCGGCACCAGCCCAAATGGCGGCGTCAGCGCCCCCTGGCCCGAATTGGACGCCGAGATATTGCGCGCGCGATGCGATGGCGACGCCCGCCCACGTCGGAATTGGACGTCCGAGGAAGCACCGAATGCGCGCGACTACAGCGGCATCGAAATCTGCACGAGGCGGCACAAACACAGTCTTGTTTTTTGCAAGCGAAGGTAGGCCAGGCGTTCGGCCGCTTGACAGACTGGAAACGCTCTGGGCAAATCAGCCAATCGCGGCTGCGCACGGCCAGAGCCACCAGCACATCCCCCCACGACCCCACGACGCACACCCAAGGACGACGACGAAACCTCCCCCACTGAGCGTCTCCAGATCGGGCCCATTGCCATGGCCCAGGCTGGGCCTGACTGCGGGCGCCCCTGCGTGACACCCGATTGTAGATCCAGCATAAATTGCGGCTCGCCGTTGACTGCGGCATAGCTCCTGGGGGCGAAATACCTGGGAGCGACATGAAAGGCCGAAATCAGAGCACGGTAACCCACGGGGGGCCAACGCGACCCATAGCCAATCGTGGCCCGGGGGGGAAACGCGGCAGCGAAGTCAAACGCAATAAAAAGTGGTGCATCCTGCTCGGCGGTTCCGCGCGTGCTCGCGCGCCTAGCAGACGCGCCAAGGCGGGCCGCATTGCTTGGGCCGCTCCGCCAGGGGGCAAAGCCCTGCTGGACCTCGCGGGCGCGGCCCTGCACCGCGCGCCCAAGCTGGCAATTCGCAGCTGTTGCGAGGCCTTTCGGATCAGTGTCGCGCGGCAGCTGGGGCCTGATCTGAGAGGGCTTCCTCGCGCGTTCACGCGCGTCGAGGGACTCGCTGCCATTCGGGGAAAAGCAAAGAGGGAATCATTCGGGGATTCGAGAATAAAATGGCCTGCCATCAAATGGCCCAGGAATCCGTGGAGCACGGGGGGGAACTCGTCGGAGACCATCCAAGCCTTGCAGGGGGTCCCATCTGGGCCAGCTGCGCTGTCTCGCGCACGTTTGAGGGCCATCTTGCGGTCCTCGGTGCTGGGGGCGGGGATGTCGGCCATGCTCTGGGCCGGGTCGAACTCCCCAAGATGGTTCTGAATGTCCAGCTCGTTAGCCGGCTTGGCCCGAAAGACGCTGGCCCAGCGAGCCTTCAGAGCCTCGAGAACCTCCGCGGGGGACTTGCCCACGGAGTGCCCAGGGCGAATACCGATCGAATCGCATCCTTCCCTTGGGTCTCCATAACATGGCTCGTTGGCGGACAGCCTTCTGATATTGGGAGTGAGCAGAGGCTCCCAGATGGTCGCCAGCACGCTGAGCCTGTTGGGCAACCTGCGTTGCACGCTGCTGTGCGACCTCCAGTTCAGCAGCATGAAGAGAGCGAAAATTGCGACGACATTCATCGTGGTGAAGCAGCCGATCCTGCCCATCATCAATATGAAGAAAGGGGGCCCCTTCCTCCGCGGTCGATTGGATCAAGGCAGCAAGAGAAGCGCTCCGCCGCCAAACTGCCCGCGAATTACTCCTCAATGCGATCGTTCCCCCACCTCGAGCTCTGCGATGACTTGGTCGAAATGGCAATTTTCGAAGTTCGTCTCGAGACTGGCGCGCGGCCTCCACCGCGGAGCCCTTCGCGCGGAGCCACTGCTGGGCGGGCGAAAAGCGCTCTAAGCCAGCGACGGCCAGCAGGCTGCCCAGCATGTCCTTGAACCTTCCGCCGCTGAAAACAGCATCAGAGATGCGATGTTCGGCGGCGTTAGATGGCGCATTGGGGCGGAGCGAGAGACAGAGCACGCAGTGGTCGCTCGTTCTGGCCCGCGACATCCCCATGGGATCCGCATCGGCCTCGCAGAAAACACCAGAGTCCATCAGGTAGTGATGGGAAATTCCAGTGGACGTCCTGTCAACCGCCGACGCTGTGCAACGCAGGTGGCTGAAGTGCGCTGGCGCGAGTGAGCGGACGCCCTGCGCCACGTCAAAGAGAGGCCGCCAGAACATTTCCAGCGGCTGATATGCGCGGCTGGGAGGCAAGGAGCTCGCCCTCGCGATGGGCTCGCTATAACTGCGTGGATTGCCCTCCCTGGCGTCGAAAACGCACGCGGCGACGAAGACGCGCAGCCTGGGGTCAGCAACGCCCCAGGCCACGGAGGATCTCCAATAGTGCGCGGTGCCACCGCGCTTGTTATCAGGCATGCCATCGACGTGTACGTTCAGGGCCTCGAAGCAAGCACCGCCGTTGGCACGCGTAATATCCAGCGCGGCGACTCGACCAGGTACAACAGGATGAAAATGGGCAGCAGGGCGGAGCTCGCCGGGCAGCGACCTCGGCCATGGCACCAGGGAGTCGCCGCCCCCCGCGCGCGAAAGTGGGGCCTCGGAGTGAAAGAGCCTGCGCTGGTATGGGGAGCTGGCGATCAGGACCTCCAGCTGTTGTCAGGCTCCGCTGGCTTCCTGGAGAAGGAGAAGGGCGCCTGTCCTCATGCGTCACTCGAGCTTCTGCAGTTTGCGTTTGCGCTCGCGCGCCTGATAGCAGCAGACCCCACAAGCGCCCCATGACGCAACGCAGGCACCCTGCGCGCTCGGCGACGCACTCCACGGAGTCCAGCGAGGGCTAGATAAAACAACAGTGAGGTGTCGATGACACAATTCGGCGGCGACGGCGGCGTTGTCCACTCGGAGCCGCTGGGCGACTTGTCCATCCCATCGCAGTTGTGCACTGTCTGCTGCGCTGGCACCAATCCCAAGCGCGACGAGTGGGATCGAGTCAATGGGAATGATGCCCTCGTTGCCGACTTTGCGGGAGCGGTGCGCAGCCTGACTTTTGAAAAGCACGACAAGTCGTTTTGCAAGTATGTTCGCAATTAGTTTGGCGACTTGTCTGCGTTGGTGTAGAGGGGAGTGATCGCTCCTGCTGCATTGGGCGCTGTGCATGCTCCCCACTGACCGACAGTGCGTAAATTGCGGGCGAGAGAGGCATTCCTGGACGAGGCTGCTGGCCCACCGAGCACACTTAGGAATAACCTCCTGGCGGGCACGACGCCGATGAATTCAACGTCGCTGATAGATACCCCTGCAGCTGAGAGCCATGGCTCAAGTGAGCGACGGGCCTCAGCATATTGAATTGCGGACGGCGCCCCGGCGCTGCCGAGGTGCGGGTCAGGCGGCCTCTCCCATACGGCGAGCGCCGCCATGTCCAGCGGCGGGGGCGTGGCCTCGGCCATGACGAGGGACGACTGGATGCGCTCTATGTCCGCCTTCAGCTTCTGCTGCTCTTTCTCGTCAATGTGCGCGCACTTGCCAAGGTCGCGCATGCAGGTGTCGATGCCGTCAATGCGCTGGTTCTGCTGCTGCACCTGTGAAATGACGAGTTCGAACTCACTCTGCAACGCGGAAGTGGATGGCTGCATGATGGCGGTCGTTTCTTGTTGACGGCGTTGTGTGGCACGCTGGTCCGCGAAGACAACGGAGAGGCGATCCTCGACGAGGATGGGGTCACGGGCAGCGACATCAGCACATGGTTGTGCAGCAGTTCCTGCTTGAGACCCAAATGTGTCCATGGGTGTCGAGGTGCCCCAGGGATCTTGTCGTTGGATGGGATCATCTGCTTGCTGCTGCAATCCACCTTGAGGAAGGGAAAAAGGAGCCCGATGTCCGTCATCTCGTTGGCGTTGTCGCTGGCCCTCTCTTTGCTGTGTCGCAAGGCCTCCAGAGGATGCCGTACGTCTGTCAGCCAGCGTGGCGTGGCGCTCGTTACGCGGTCGTGGGGCTCGCTGGTCACGGGCAGGTCGTCGTTCGGGTTCACGGCTGGCGAATGGTGTTGGGGATGTGCGACGGTGCTGCCATCGAGTGCCACGATCACTGCGAGAACCGCTGGCGTCTCCTTCTCGCCTGCGCTGGCGACGACGTTCTGGGACACGTGCAGGTGTGGAGGATGACCCAGAGCCGCTGCTCGACGCCATAACGACAAAAACCTTCGTGGCCACAACGGCTGAGCTGTCGGTCTTACCGTGGGCAACCTTCTCGCAGCACCTCCTCTGAACGAGCAGCAAAAAATGGCAATAAGATGGATGATAATATGGAAGGTTGGGCGGCAACTCGCCCCCTGCTGTGGCTGCACAGACATAAACGCAATTATTCTGAATCAGATAAAAACCTACCCCGCTTGAGCCAAAATGGTTTGAGCCAAAATGGCTACGGACGATGATGATAATGAAGATGATGATGGTGATGACGATGTTGATTATGATAACGAGAATGATGATGATGATGCTGATGATGATGATGATGATGACGATGATGATGATGCTGCTGATGATGATGACGATGGTGATGAAGATGATAATGATGATGATGATTATGATGATGATGATGATGATGATGATGGTGATGGTGATGGTGATGGTGATGGTGATGGTGATGATGATGATGATGATGATGATGATGATGATGATGATGATGATGATGATGATGATGGCGACGAGGAGGGGGAGGAGGGAAGGTGACGGGGAGGAGGAGGAAGGAGGACGGAGAGCAGGGGGGACGCGGGGCGCTGTCTCGTCAAAACGAGGGCCCAACACCACAGGATGGTTGGCGAAAAAGCGACAACAAGACGAGAAAACCCTGCAAGCCCTGCCGCTGCTTCTGCTCCCTTCCCAACCCACCTTTTCCTACGGTCGTGAACTTTTGCTCAGCGTGTCGCCGCAGCGGCCCCGGCGACACGCTACACCTCCTTGCAAGCGGATAACGTGTCGCTCCGCTCCGCGGGACGGGAGGCTCGGAAAGACTCGGCGAGGCGCCGAGGCGCGGTGGGCCAGAATCAGCGGAGCGACGCGCTGAGCCAAAGTTCCCGACCCTGTAGCCTCCCGCCTTTAGGAAGCTGACGGCCGAAAAGAAAACAAAAACAGCGACGAAAAAACGAGAAAACCTTGCAACCCCTGACGTTGCGTCTGGTTCCTGCCCAAGCCACCCCTTTCCATACATAGGTATCCTAGATGGGGTCGAAGTAGATGTGGCCGGAAGGATCGCACCGCATCGGCGATGCATCGGCGATGTATCGGCGACGTCGGCGGTGCATCGGCGACGCCGGCGCGGACAAAAATCGGGCACCACATCGAGCCGCATCGTCGATGCATCGGCGATGCGGCGCGATCTTCCGCCCCTTTCTGCTCCGACCCCCTCTGGAAGGCCTTAGACCGACCTAGCTCATCCTGTAGCCCCCAGCCTTCAGGAAGCCTGGCGCAATCGCCGCGGACCCTCCCCGCGGCCTGCCGCCCGCACCCTCCGCACCTGGTCTCTCAGCTCCGCCCGCATCTGGACCGCGCCCCTCGCGGGCCGCCCGGGCGCCGCCGGGCCCCCGCGGCGGGGCCGGACGGCGCCCGAGGCCGCAGGGCGGACGCACAGCCAGACGCCGCCCCCTCGCGCGCAGGGGGGCGGGAGCCTCGTTGCCGTGGTCGCCGGCAACGCCGTGGCCGCCGCCGCCGCTGCCGTCGCCGTCGCCGCCGTGGTCGTCGAGGCCGCGGGGAGGAGGAGGAGGAGGAGGAGGAGGAGGAGGAGGAGGAGGAGGAGGAGGAGGAGGAGGAGGAGGAGGAGGTAGGAGGAGCACCAGGAGTACCATGAATCCAGTCCGAGTGCGATAAACAGGGAAACACCTCCTCACACCCCTCCTCATCCTCCTCATCATCATCACCATCCTCCTCCTCCTCATCCTCCTCATCCTGATCATCCTCCTCCAGATCCTTCTGAATCTCTTCAGACTGAGGCACATCATCCTATGCATTATCACACGCCACTAATGGTACTGACATGTTTCATGATTGCAGCCATCTTCCTCGAAACATCCTAAGCAGCCTCCACCTCCTCCTCTTATTCCTCCTCCTCCTCCTCCTCTTCCTCCTTGTCCTCCTCCTCCTCCTCCTCCTCCAGACCATCATCCTCATCCTCATCCTCATGGTCATCCTCACCACCACCACCACCATGATCATGATCATCATCATCATCATCAGCAGCAGCAGCAGCATCATCAGCATCATCATGATCATGATCATTATCATCATCATCATCATCATCATCATCATCATCATCATCATCATCATCATCATCAGCATAATCAGCATCATAATCAGCAGCATCATCATTAGCAGCAGCATCAGCATCTGCATCAGCATCAGCAGCATCCTCATCATCGTCGTCAGCAGCAGCAATGGCAGCAGCATGAACACCGTCCTCATCATCACCAACAGCATCATCATCATCAGCATCATCAACATCATCCTCATCATCACCATCATTAGCATCATCAACATCACCGGCATCATCATCACCGCCATCATCATCATCATCATCATCATCATCATCAGCAGCAGCAGCAGCATGCTCATTATCGTGATCATCGTCATCACCATCGTACTCAACATCACCATCACATGAACCATCATAATCATAATAATCACGATCGGCATCATCATCATCATCATCATCATCACCACCACCGTCCTCATCATCACCAGCAACATCACCATCACCAGAATCAGCATCATCAGATCATCATCAGCATCATCATCCTCGTCGTGTTCCGCATCATCCTACTCGTCATTGTCACCAGCAGCACCGTGCCAACATCACCGTCATCCCCCTCGTCATCATGCTCCTCTGCGAGGACGTTCCTCCTCCCCCGCTGTATCCTCCCAATTATCCTCCTCCTCCTCCCCCTCATCCTCCTCATCAGCACCATAAACATCGTAACCAGCAGCATCACTACCAATATCAGTATCACTATCTCTCGCCTGCTCCCATTCCTCATCTTTCTCCGCATCCTCCTCATCATTCGCCTCCACCTGCGTCTAAAACACCCTCGACTGCTCCTCCTCGTTTTCCGCCTCATCCTCCTCCTCCTCATCATCGTCATCATCATAATCAGCATCAGCATCAGCATCATCAGCATCATCATCATCATCAGCAGCATCATCATCATCGGCATCATCATCAGTATCATCATCAGCATCATCATAATAATCAGCATCAGCATCAGCAGCATCATCATCAGAAGCATCAGCATCAACATCATCAACATCATCAACATCATCATCGGCATCATCAGCATTAGCAGCAGCATCATCATCAACAACATCCCCAACTTGATCCTCGTGATTCTCGCCCGCCTCACCTCCTCATCCGAACCCCCATCGTCCTCGTCGTCGGCATTGTCAGCACAGCCGTCCTTATCGGCATCATGACCATCGTCGCCAGCGTCATCATCATCACCATCACCATCACCTTCACCATCATCATCACAATCGTCATCATCAGCATCATCAAGATCACCTTTAGCATAAGAATCAGCATCATCACCTTCATCTTCATCATCATCAGGAGCATCATCATGATCATCATCATCGTCATCAGCATCACAGGCCTCCTCCTCCTCCGCCTCTACGTTCTGTGTCGTATGATGTCGTCGTGGGATCATTGGGATCATCTTGGGGCCATGGAGTCACACTGGGGTAATGGCTATGTCGTCTTGGAGTATTGGGGCCATCTTGACACCGACCGGGCACGCATCCAAGATCGGGGATCGAGCGTCGAGGGTCGAGCATCGCGGGTCGAAGACCAAGGATAGAGCATCGCGGATCGAGCATCGAGGATCGAGGTGCGAGAATCAAGCACCGCGGACGTACACCCTGCGAAATGCTCAAGAAATCATGGGTTAAGAAATTCATAGTCTCAGAACTTGAATAAAACCCAAAAATTCTATTCAAATCTTAGGATTTACATTGAAACATTAAGAATAAACGAGACTCTGGCCGAAAATTTAGGTTTTCTTAAGCATCGCCTAAGGTGTAGCATCGAAAATCAGGGGACGACGAGCGAAGATGACAACCGGAGGATCGAGGATCGGGGACGCGGGGCCGCCCCAGAGTTCGCGGCGGGCACCGTGCACCCCAAACCACTGCCTGCGGGGGGGGGAAGCTAAGGCGCCGCGCGACGGACCAGCATTGCAGGGGGGCCGCAGGGGCGAGACTGCCTATCGAGTTTCTTCTCGGGGGGGGGGGCTTACCCTCCCCCCCGCCTCCGGTTTCCCATCCCTCTCCTGCTGCTCAACTCCTCCGCGTCACCACCACCACCATCAGCATTGGTCGGCACCACTAGCATTCCCCCTCGCCTCCTCCTCATCTTCATTGTCCGCCTGATCCTCCTCCTCCTCCTCATCCTCGTCTTCCTCCTCCTCGTCCTCCTCCTCCTATCGCCTCGACCGCCTCATCACTATTCTCCCTTGTTTCGTCCTTCCTTCTCTTCTTCATCGCCCTCCTCCTCCGTCTCCTCCTACACGTCCTCATCTTCCTCATCATCATCCTAATCCGCATCTTCCTGTAATGATCATCATTTTGCTTATTCTCCTTCTCCTCCCAATTCTCATTCTCCACCTCCGTAAATGTTTTCGCCTACTCCTCCTTCTCCTCGTCTTCCTCCTCCTCGGCTTCTTCCGCCTCCTCCATCTTCTCCTTCTTCTCCTCTACCTCCCTCCCCTCAAGGGCCCTGTTGGCTGCCTCGGCGCGGACAGTCCTGTGAGTACCGGGCATGGGGCGGAGGTGCTTCGAGCCCCTGACGACTGCGACTTCTTCGTGACCTCCGAGGTGCGCGTGCCTTGAGGCCTCCCCGAATGCGCGTGCGTGGAGCCAAAGTTCCCGACCATATAGCCTCCAGCCTTCAGGAAGCTGACGCCCGAAAGGAAAATCATAACAGCGACGACAAAACGAGGAAACCCTGCAAGCCCTGCCGCTGCTTCTGCCCTGCCGCTGCTTCTGCTTACTGGGACAAAGAAAAATGGAGTCCGGATCGCGCCGCATCGCAGATGCATCAGCGATGCGGCTCATCTACTTCGGCCCCATGAGGACTTGAGTTTTGCCTGCTTGCTCTTCCTCCTGAGTCTTGCCTCCCACACTGAAGCTTCAGAGTGTCTGAAATGCCTGAACTGTTTGAGAAACTGTTCGAGACTTCGGAGGCCTCCGAAGGCTTCGAGGACCTTGGAGCCTCCAGGACGTCTGGGCGACAGGATCCAGACGGAAGTAACGAATCTTGGCTCCTTCTCCTCCTCATCCTCCTCCTCTTCCTGTTCCGTCTCTTCCTTCACTCATGATTTCCCGCCTGCGCGTTCTCATCCTCCCGCTCCACCTCCTCCTGAAACGATAACACAGACACGCCCGAGTCTGTCCCGATCTCTCAGCCATTTCATACTCCAGCGCCCGCCTATCAATGCCGCGGCCACCACTTCGTCTGCCAGGAAGGGACGACGGTTGTCACCTCCGCGGCCTGGACTC